CGCCTCACCCTCGCGCCTCGCCCTGCCGACGCCTCTGAGGAGACTCGCGGTCCGCGCGCGAGGAGCTGGCGCCCGTAAGTAGGCGCGGCGCTGATTGGCTGGACGCCGCGCGCGTGCGCAGGGCAGGCAGGCTCCGCCCCTTTGGGCGGGAAGCGCGGGGTCGCTCCAGGCTCCGTGCAGGCCGCGTGCGGAGCGCGCAGGCGCCCGCGTTTCCAGGGTGACAGTCGCAGGCCCGTCCGCGAGCCCGCCGGCACCGCCGCCCCTGCCCGTCCCGGTGTGTGTTCGCGTGACGGGAGAGGGAGAGCCAGACAGACACTGAGAGATGCTGAGAGCCTGAGAAAGACAGAGAGACAGAAACACTGAGACAGAGAGACACTGAGAGACAGAGGCACTGAGACACACAGAGGCAAACACTGAGAGAGACTGAGGGACAGAGAGACACGGAGAGACAGAGACAGAGGTACCGTTTGGGCTTTGCAAAAAATACCGCGGCACAGTCAGCCTCGATTGTTTTCTGCGGCCCTGGGGGTTGAACCCCAGGCTGTCGCTCTGATCTGCACCCCCAGCTGCCCCTCCTTTTTTGCTAGAGGTCTCACTAGATCCCCAGCCCTTTTGAAAATGCTTATCTTTAGACCAGATCTCCCTCATTTGCCCAGAGTGGGCTTTAACTTGGGATCCTCCTGCCTCAGTGTCCCGGAGCGCTGAGAACAAAAGCATGTGCAGGATTAAATTCTAGTAGGATGTGTTTGCTGTCCACGATTGCCTTCTTTGTGGTGAATTTTGGGGATGAGTGTTGGATTCTGTTAAAGGTTTTCTCTGCATCTATGGAGATCGTAGTACATTTTTTTATCCTTACGCCTGTGAATGTGATAGACATTTATACACTTATGTTTGTTTTGTTTTTTGAGGCAAAATAGTTGCTTAATAGTTTGCTTAATATAGTTCAGGCTGGCCCTGAACTCACTGTGAAGCCCAGGCTGGCCTCAAACACACACCAATCTTCCCGCCTCAGCCTCCCAGTGCTGAGATTACAGGTGTGCACCACAGTGCCCACTGGTAATTATTTAAACCAGTTTCCTGGTATCAACCCATCTTTGCCTTCCTGGATTAAGCCCACTTGGCCATTATTGTGGCACTGGAGTCTGTTTGGGATTGCACACCAATGTCCCTGAAGGGGGTGACCTCTAAGTGTCTTCCATGGCCAGGACTTGTTTCCTAAACACTTCTGTTTCCCTTCATGCTCTGTGCCCGACACACTTCAGCCCCGAGTGTCGATGGGAAGCCCTGAACCGGCAGCGCCCAGGGACTTCACGTGGAGCAGCTCCTGGATAGTAGTTTCCTTGGTTTCTTCTGTAGAAATTGGTCATTTTAGGATTTTGTCTCTATGGGGGTCAGTTATAGTACTGGGAACTGTTTTTTTTTTTTTTTTTCTAAGAAATATCCCATTTCATTTAGTTTTGGAAAATAGTGTAGGTGTCATAAAATAATATACAGTAAATAATGTAGTAGTCTTATTAAAATTTCTTCAGTATCAGTGGTTCCTTTCTGCCTGTGCCTCTCCTGTGTGTACGCATGTGCATGAACTAATGGGTGGGCAGAGAAAGAGAAGTGTGTCTTGTTTCACTCGTTTTTTAATTTGCTCACTTCAGTTGTTTTGTAGACAAGGTCTCACTCTGTAGCCCAGGCTGGCCTTGAAAAGGCGACCCTCCTGCCTCTGCCTAAGGAGTATAGGGATCACAGGTGTCCGCCACCACGGCCCCTCCCTTCTTTCTCCTACTCCAAAGGGCACTGCTCTCTCTCCAGGTCCTGCTGACTCCCAACCACTCAGCTGGAACCAGGAAGGCGGGCAGGCAGTGGCGGGGGGAGTCCAACGCCTGGTCCTGTCCCTTGGTTCTTGGTGTAGACTGTCTTCCCGAGCTGTGACTTTTTTTTTTTTTTTTTTTTTTGAGAAAGGGCCTTGCTATGTAGTCCAAGACAGCCTAGAACTCTCTATATAGTCCAGGTTGGCTACAAACTCATGCTGATCCTCCTGCCTCGGCCTCCTGAGTGCTTTGATTATGGGTGTGTCCCACCATGCCTGGAAGGTGTACACTTACCAACTCTAGGAAAGACCAGCAGAGAGCTGCCTGTGAAGAAACTTCACAGAGGCCAGGGCAACGGGAAAAGTGTCTTTTGTAGTAGCCACAGTTTCCAAGTATCTCCCCCTCATGCAAATATGGCATTGGGACAGCATCCTATCAAACACTTCCTTGGTGTCATGCTATGTACATGGTCCAATCAAAAGGCCTCTTTGGCTTTCAGTTACATGTAAATGAGGGATCAGAAACGGGATCTTTTGATGGGTTATGCCATACGCAACGGAAGGTCAAAAAGTGCATCCTGATTGGTCCTGCAAACAACACCAGATTCAAAAGAAGGATTGAAGCTAGCAAATTTCTGACTGGCCCAAAATAGCACTTTTGTGATTGGCTGTGTGTGCACTGGTATTTGAGGCGGCCCTACCCCTGTTGTCTTGTCTTTCGTTATCTAGTAAATTTTTATTTTTACTGCATTTATCTTTGCCCTTCTATGTTTGGTCCTTACTACTCGCTTGTTTTATTACTTTTCTACATTTTGGACCACTAGCTTCTTTCTTTTCCACCCTTCTCTTTTCCTGAGGCACTCATTGACTTATTTATTTATGAGACAGGATCTCACTGTGTAGCCCAGGCTGGCCTGGAATGCACAGCGATCCTCCTGCCTCAGCTTCAACTAGCAAAAAGAAGACTTACATCTTGGAGATCCCCAGGACTTGGTTTCACTCCTTTCTGGATTTAGTTTTACTTTCTTTCCCTATCTCTTTTCACATATCACATGGCTTCAAATATCAGTCTCTAAAAGTGTCGTTCAAGGGCCAGCCTGAGTCAGGGTCGCTGGGAGGGGGAGGGGTGTGCAAGGAAATGAAGGTTCCATGGTTTCGATGCAGACCCCCCTCATTTCAGAAGAAAAAGCCGAGCCCAGCAGGACTTGTGCAGACATCCAAGTGCAGGGTGCATGACAAGCCAGGGGTGCCAGTGCCATGTGGGGACTGCACAAGCCAGGGGCCCAGGAGAGGATCTGGGTTCCAAGCCCCCTCTGCCCCTTATGGCTGTGAGACTTGCAGCAAGTCAGGCCCCCCGGCCTGGGTGTCCCTGTAATAAAAAGCAAGGCTTCGAGCTGGGCATGGTGGTGCACATCCCTACAATCCCAGCCCTTGGGAGGCTGAGGCAGGAGGAGAGCCATGAGGTCGAGGTCAGCCTGGAATACACAGAAATCGTACCTCAAAACAACAACAACAACAACAACAACAAGCACAGACTGCACCAGACAGATGATGGTCATTGTGAAAATTCTGCCCGCAGGGCCTGGGGAGGGGGGTCCAGCAGTCTAACAGTTTCCCTTCTTCCAAATCACACAACGCAGTGATGATTGTTTTGTTCCCTCCGAAACTCCTGCTGAGGTTTCATCAGCAACGTAAAGGTATTGAGAGGCAGGGTGCCAGGGGGTGACCGGCTCACGGGGCAGCCCCCAGGATTAGGGCAGGGCCGTTACTGAGGGCTGGACCCAGGGCATCGGCCCTGCTGCCAGGTGAGGACACGTGGCCGCCCCCACCCCCCAGGTGCACGCAGGGTTCCAGGTGCCATCCTGGAAGCAGAGTGTCAGCTGCCACCAGACAGAGAACCTGGTCGGTACCTTGACCTTGGACTTCCCAGCCTCTAGGACTACGTGGAATTGAATTTTTGTTCTTCATAAGTCACCCAGTCTGTTTTTGTTACACAGCCGAAGGGACTGAGGCCCACACTGGACCTCTACAGGGCTACATTTGAATGAACGTTTTTCAGGCTTTTCAACTTCCCAGGGCCAGGGATAAGGCTATACACGCCAGTTATCCCAGCACTCAGGAGGCTGAGGCAGGAGGATTGCTATGAGATTGAGGCCAGTCTCAGATACAATGTGAGTTCAAGGCCAGCCTGAACTGCAGAGCAGGATCCTGTCTCAACAAACAAACAGGAAACAAAAATTCAGAAGGCCACCGACTCATCAACTGCCAAGGTTCTCATGCCAAGGACCCTCCCGAATCACAAGATGAATGACCCGATGGGTATCCTAGGATTCCATTATCCGGCTCATTTCCCAGTTCTGCGTGGGGTGTGGACTGCATGCACATCACTAGAGATCTCTGTGACACACACATCTTTATTTCTGTACAACCTTTCCAGAATAAATTCTCGGCTTTTACACTGATATTCAAACAACTCACCACATTCTTCCATATCACAAATTTTATCCAGAAGCCATAACGCCCTCTGACATGATCTGACACTAGTCTCTGTTTAATTTTACTAGCGCTCAGTACAGAGCCTGACACACCATATAGCCCATCGACTTCAAAAAAGCCTTGCTTTTTTCCATGGCCTGGAAAATAGGAAATCCCCAAGATTTAAAAATCAAAGCATCAGACAAATACAATTTTTTATGAGACTTCAATTTTGGGAAACAGCACAAACACAGTATTTACATTTAAAGTTCTTTTTACAAAACAGGTGTGCTGTTGTGGGATACTGTTCAGACTGTGATCTAAAATACCTGTCCATCAGAAAGGACTTGTGGAATCCGGTTGCCAGAAATCCACCGTACAATGACACCAGGAAACAGCTGCACATCAGGGTTTCCCCAGACATGAAAATATGGAGTCCCGGTGGTCAGCGACAGGGGCCTTCCCGTCAGATCCACCTACATATGGGCTGTGCAATGATAAACGATTGTTTACGAGACACGAACTGAAAAAGAAGAATGTGTGACGGAGACACAGGTGTCCTATGATTATGTGCTAGCAGGCCCTTTAGAGAACAGGTTTGTTGATTGACCCCTGCTATACACGAAAGCAGCTATGCTGGAAAATGGGTGCGGAGGGTGGGTGTTAAATCAGACACCGGGTGTAGCCCTGTCAGTACTGCCCGTCTGGAGGGGAGGCACTCCTGATTGACTACGTACAATTCCTAAACATAATTACATCTCTCAGTGGCAGCAATGATTAGGCAGCCTTGGTCAGCAGGCCTGTGCAGGAAACCGAAGAACGTGCTCTCGGGACTGAAGAATCGCGACACGTCCCCGTACCGGCCACGAGCAGTCCGCAGGTCAGAGTGGACGAGACCGTCCTTACCCACTCGGTGATTTCTACCTCGTCCTCGAAGGTGAAAGTACAGCCCTACTTAAACAGCAACCGCGGCGGCGGGATCACACGTCCGGACTGTCTGCTGGCGGAAGCGGAGCTGGGCAGCTCCTTACTTTACCCACGGGAGGTGGGAAGCGGAGCGCGGAGGGGCAGAGCCGGGCTCCAGGTTTCGGAGACTCCCGGCCGCCTGGGCCTCCACTCGCACTTCGCAAGGGTCGCGCTGGGGAGCCAGCAGGCTTTGCAGGTCCGGGAGCGAGTGCCTTAAAAGCGGGACGCGCTCAGAGCCGCCCGGCACGGTGTGTGGAGTGTGCCAATCCGGGCGGCGGCCGAGCGTCCAGTCACCCCTCCCGGTGACACTGAGGTAGGTGACTGCCGAACCGAGACGTTCTAGACCTTGATGCGCTCGGGGCTGGCTTCTTTGTGCGTCCTCCTCCGGGGAAGTATCTTGCGCTTAAGAGCAATTAACTGCATGATGGAAGACAGAAAACGTGTTCTAATTTCCCACACGGCCGGCAGTGCGTACAGTCGCCCTTATTATCGATGAGTCGTACCCACAGTCTCCCAGACTGCCCCGCTCTTTTAGGAAGGCCCCAGGGCATTTCCATCGTCCCTCCCTAAAACACCGCTCCCACACCTGCTGCCCGGGTCGGCGCAAGCCGCGCCGACGTGGTCTCAGCCCAGGCTCCCTTGGCTAAGGCCTGCGACCCAGGCGCCCGCGCAGCCCTCCCCGAGCGCGTCTGCTTTCAGACGTCCGGGCCAGGCTTCCCGCCGGAGGGACCTGGCTCGGCTTAACCATGAGGCACTGCTTCCGGGTTAACAGGACCACGTTCGGTCTGATTTAAAAAGCAAACAGCAACACTAAAAAGCCTGTTGGAATTTTTTTTAAGCTTCACCTAATAGCAGTCACTTAAAAATGAAGATGATACCCAATGATAGCCGGGGATAGAGCTCAGCAGCATAAGCCCCTGCCTGGCAAGCGCAAAGTCCTGAGTTCGATTCCCGGTACCAAAAAAAATACCCAATGATGAGTGCGCTGCAGTGGAAGGTTCCTCTGTGAACCAGCAGCACAGACCCGGGGTGCGCGCTGTGTTTCTCACAAACACAGCTGCCCGTGCTGTATCTGAAACAGGAAGTGTAATGCCCACCGTGAGAAAGTTGCCAGGGGAAAGAAAGCGTTCTTCATGGTCTCCTCTCAGGAGTCCCAACATTGCCTGGTCTTCCCTGTCCCAGAGGCAGAAGCAGCACTTTGCCCACACACAGCGGCCATGCTGCCTGGCTGGGGACCCGGGGCTTGGGCAGAACAAAGCCGGGCCCTGTCACGGGGTGTGTCTGATGTCCCCACAAAGCCTCATGGGTCTCGGGGCTCTTCCTGAGCTGGCTGCAGCCGCAGCAGGCGGGTGAGCGAAGTGGTGCAGACTGGTCGGCCAGAGCTCTGGCTGGGGTTAAAGGTGAGAGCTACGCCGGCCTGGGGCGTGCAGCCCGCACACCATGTAAGAGACACACAGAGGCTCGTCCCCGCCCTTGCTGCTTTTGCTGTCTCGTGGGCGCCAGGAGCTGTTCCCTGCGACCCTCCTGTGCCATGCCACGCCGCCTTGCAGCCAGCCGACTTGGACTGAGCCCCGTACAGACTACGGGCCACCTGCACCTCTCCCCTCCAACTCTGGGTGCCGGGTATCTGCCTTAGCAACGAGAAAAGTAACTGAGACAGACCCGCTTTCTTCCGCGTCCCGGGCAGCTCCTCACGCTGCCCCCGCTTCGTCCCACCCCGGGAGCTGGGGCCAACACCTGCCCCCTTGGTGGCCGAGGGAGGCCGAGTTTCGCCCAGCTGCCCGCGCAGCAAGCCTGACCCACAGCGCCCAGTCAGCCTGTCCTGCGGCTCGGAGCCGGCAGCCTGCGCCGCCCGCTCTCAGCGCTGCACACCGCAGCCTGCAGCGTCCTCCTCGGCCTGCTCCCTCCTCCCCGGAGAGGGGGCCGGAGCCCGGAGGGGCAGAGCGGGTGAGAGGAGCGGGCAGGGAGGCGGCGAGGGCGACAGCCCGGCCTCGGCACAGGAAATGCAGGGCCGCTCAGCGCAGAGGACAGCGCCGCCACCCACGGGAGCCCAGCAAGATGGGCTCGGGCTCAGGCGGGGCGGGGCCGGACGCAGCTCAGGTGAGCCCCGCCTTCTGCCCGGCTCGCTCAGACCGGACACGCCGGGACACACCGGCCCCGCCCCGCCAGGTGTGTCACGTACCTGCTCAGCAAAAAAGGAGAAGACGGTGAAAAGGATCAGCGTGGCCAGGACGCAGTGGGTCCAGAACTTCAGCTTGTCGCGGTAGGCCCTCCTGCCGGGGAGAAGCAGACGCGGCCTGAGCTCGCAGGGAGGCTCGGGCGGAGGCGGGCGAGGAGCTACGCGCAGGCCGCGCTGCCCACGCAAGGCCACGGATCCAGGACGCCGCCCAGCAGGAGCGCGTCGCCCTGGGCTCGCGCTGTCCCGAACCGCTCCTCTCCCCAGCACTCCCGACTCTGTCCTGTCCCACCGCTGGGTTCACACTGCGCTCATGGCTGCTCCGTTTCCGGGCTGCCCCAGCAGCTCGCACATTGCAGCTCCGGCTCCCGACCCTCCTTGGGGGCGGGTCCCTCGCTGAGGCAGGTGGGCTGCCCTCGGCAACCACCCAGGGGCCAGCCCTGCCCACACCATTCCCCTGTGCGCCTGCACCACCCAGCTCAGCACTGCAGAGGCCCAGCTACACCGAAAACCCAGGTGGGTATGTTTTTCAAATCCCTTAAGATGTCTTTCAGATATTAAAAGCAGTAAAGAGCCGGCAGTGGTGGCGCACACCTATAATCCCAGCACTCAGGAGGCTGAGGCAGGAGGATTGTTGGGAGTTTGAGACCAGCTTGGGCTACAAAGTGAGCTCAAGGCCAGCCTGAACTGTATAGTGAGACCCTGTCTCAAAAAGACAGTAAGTAAATAAATAAATAAATAAATAAATAAAATAAAAGCAATAAAAGCTGGGCATGGTGGCGCACACTCATAACCCCAGGACCTGGGAGGCTGAGGCAGGAGGACTTCAAATTCAAGGCCAGCCTCGCCTACACAGATGTTGTCGCAAAGATTCCAGTCAAACTGCAACAGATATTCTGCGTTTTCAGAAGGAATTCCAGGGCAAGTAACACATGAAAGCCATGTCACGGTGAGCCTCGGCCACGTGTGTGGGGGTGCCTACCCAGGCACACGTGTGCGCGCAACGCGAGGGCTCACCATTCCCGCAGCTCGTGCATGTGAAGGAAGCGGTTCCGGTACTCCCTGGGCAGCTCGAACTGGGACGGCACGGGGAACATGGACTCGTAGAAGTCCCGGAGCACGGCCTTCACGGTCTGCGCGTCCTTGTGGCCGTGGTCAATGTTGTCATTCAAGCAAACGAACTTTCTGCAAGGACAGAGTGCTGGTTACCAGGCCTCTCCCGCAGGGCCCTGACCAAGGGGAAAAGCAATGTGGACTCCAAGTAGTTTTTACTTATTTCTTTGGTTTTTTGAGACGAGGTCTTGCTGTGCAGTTCCAGCTGGCCTGGAACTCACTCTGTAGCCCAGGCTGGCTTCCAATTTGCTCTGATCCTCCTGCCTCAGCCTCCCAAGTGCTGGGATTACCGGCGTGCGCCACCACGCCCGGCTCTCCGAGAGCATTTTCAACGGACATCTGCACCCGTCGGCGCACTGGCTGCTGGGATTCTCTGGGCACTCCTGCTCTGTCAAGCGCTGCTTCAGAAACCCCTCACCCGTGCACCCAGAGGGCCCGTGCTGGGCACTGAGAGACGTGAGGTGGCGCCGTGAGGCCTCTTCTGGAGTGACTTCCGTTCGCGCAGCCTGGGCTCGGCGGCCAGCTAGCGGAACGCAGCATCAGCACCAGGAAAAGCTGGCGAGGATGGAGCCAAACCCTCTGCAGTGGTGGCGTGAAGGGCCGCACAGCCACAGGTACCTGGGCAGCGATGGCTCCCACGGCCGCAGCTTGAGGACCTCGGCCTCCTCCACCACGCTTCAGGTGCCAGCGCTGGCCAAGCAGCGGCAACTCCGCCGCCCGAGTGCTTCGAGGTGAGCGCCGGCACGCGAGGGCCATGAAAACGCAGCAGGGAGGACGGGATCCTGACATGAGCCAACGGTTAAACCCTCAGGCCTGCCAGCAGCTCCCGGGAAGCCCCGGGTGACCCGCTTGGCGGAGGACCCAGCCAGGACCGGAGCAGCACAGCGGGCCCGAGGTCTGTGAGACACGGAACCGGCTGTCTTCAGACACGCGTGCGTGTGGAGAGCTCAGCAGACAGAGAGGAAGATGGAGCAGAAACCTCTGGACTCGCTGCAATGAATTTACCTGACAACACCACAACCTACGCCCAGGTGCTTACAAGGGCGGAAAGGTGCAAGCTGTCCTGCTGACTGCTTTGCTGTATTTTAAGGATCTTTATAGTTAAGAGATACACACTAAAAAACAGGTAAAACGACGAGATTTACTTGAAATAACTTGGTGTAGTGATGAAGGAGTGGGTGTGTTCAGGTGAAACAAGATCAAACATAAGCCAGCGGGATGGCGCACACCTGGAATTCCAGCACTTGGGAGGCTGAGGCAGGAGGATCAAAGCGAATTCAAAGCCAGCCTGTGCTACATAGCGAGACCCTGTCTCAAAAAACCAACACAGCAAACAAACGCTCCAATATAATCGATGCTTGCTGGAGACAGTTATGTAGAAATGGAAGTCACTGTGTCACCCTTTCTCTGAGCCCGTGGCCTGGCTTATATCAAAAGGACACCCAAGAGCTCCGTCTGCCACATGTGACCCACGAGCCTCCGTGACATTCCGGACTAAAAATAGATAAGCAAAGCACAGGCAGACACCAGCTCTCAGTGCCGGGGGCGGAGCGAAGGCTGGCACCGGGCAGCACGTCCAGGTCTTGTGGCCTTGCAGGGGCCAAGACAGCAGGAGGCCAGCAGACGAAGGAGCCAAAGCCAAGGTCCTGCCTACCCAGACGCTTTGTTAAAGGGACAAACGTGTCCCTAGGGCTGACGGCAGGTGGTATAAGGCAGTTACCCCAGCTACTTGGGAAGCTGAGGCAGGAGGATCACAAGTTGGAGGCCAGCCTGGGCACCTGTATGAGACCCTGTCTCAAAAAATAAAAAAGGGCCAGGAGTAGAGCTCAGCAGTAAAGCACCCTGGGTTCCACCCCCAGCTCAGGGGAGGTCTGAAGGCTGTTTTGATGCTGACTTCAAAGGAGCCCTCAAAAAAGTCAAACGCAGTAAACAGGTGTGAAAAGTTCCCGGAGCACACGCAGGCCCTGCGCCACCAGAACCACTCCTACAACCTCAGTGCCGTTTTCTGGAGGCCCCAGGCGGGCGCAGCGGGCGCAGGCTGCGGCCATTGGCTGAGCTTTTATCATCATGGCTGCGTGGCAGAGAGAGATTTATTTTTAGGAAATCGAGGATTTTCTTGGGTCCCTGAAGAAACTAAATAAGCACTAAAGATAGTTTTAAGATTCTCTTTCCCCTTTCCCACCCACAGAAAAAATAGGATTTGTAAGGAAAAAAAAATCATGGTCTTAAAATACTATATCTAGAATTTTCACAACTTTGATCATTTACAAATAAAATCCCAATTCAAATGAGGCAAAACTGAAGACTTCCACAAGTATCTAAAACACTCAGAAATGAAAAGCGTTCCTTTTATATGCCAAGATCTTTTTGTATTTCTCAAGGAAACTGATAAAATAACTATTTTCTACTAAAATTCAAAAAAGCAAAGCCAGGTGCACCTGTTGTGATGCCAGCACTTAGGAGAGGCTGAGGCAGGAGGATCAGGAAATTGAGGCCAGCCTGGCTACACCAAGAGTTCAAGCAAACTCATAGCGAGATCCTGTCTCAAAAAACCCCTAATATGCCAGGTGTGGTGGTGCACACCTGTAACTCTAGCACTTGGGAGGCTGAGGCAGGAGGATCACCAAGAGTGTGAGGCCAGCCTGGGCTACAAAGTGAGTTCAAGTCTAGCTTGAACTGCATCGTGAAATTCTGTCTCAAAAAAAAAAACAAAAAAAGTACATAGAAACAGTCACAACAAAAACTCTTCAAAAAGCAGATTTTAACCTGCTTTTATCAAACCAGGCACGGCAGTGGTCAGGGCCAGGCTGAAAAAGCTCCGAGCCGTGTGAGACAGAACGTCACAATGGCTGGCTGCAGACTGTGGACTGCCTTGCCCCTTTCCTTCAAGCTCACCTGGACCTGGACTTCCGGCCTCTGGAAACCACACAAAATACGCTCCTGCACTTCTGGCACGAGGCTGCCAGGACTCCCATGGGAGGTGGAGAGCCCATCGCCACCTCTCCCTTTTCACCCACCTGCCTTTGGGTCCAGGCCCTGGGCCCCCTCTTGCTTCCCTCTTTGCCAAAATCACAGCTTTTTTCTTAGTTTTTTTGAGACAGGGTCTCGCTATGTAGTCCAGGCTGGCCCCAAACTCATGGCCATCCTCCTGCCTCAGCCTCCTGGGTGCTGGGAAGACAGGCGTGTGCCACCACGCCCAGCTATTTTTCTTAAAATGTTTTACCCCAAACACCTTCCCCCTAAGTCTGCAGCTTCTGGGGCCTTTCTTGTCTCCACCTCTGGACATGCACACATCCACACTTGGATCTTTCAGCAGCAAATAAAGTATCAGCAGTTTGTGCCGACAAGGAAAACGTCCGCGTATGTGAGCGAAAAGTTTGTGTTGTGGTAATTCTGAAAGAGACATTCATTCAGCACAGTAACGTGTGTGTGAAAACTCAAGAGTCGGCCACATATCATTCGGGAAAATAAGAACTGACTCGGGGGAGCCGGTACCTGGGGTTTTTTCTGATGTCATCCAACTGGCCGACCACATGAGAAACGTTGGTTCGGATCATTTTAAAAGCGATTTCTTCCTCCCCCATGATCTCAAACCTAGTTGTCCAAACACAATGAGAGAGCTGAAACACCTGATTTCCAGGGAGAGAGAACAAAACGGCAACAGGAAAAGCAGCATGACAATTTTGGCGTACTCAGCACCCAGGCTGACCGACCCAATACCGCTGTGGCAACAGCCTCACACGGCTGGTTTCTGTTCGTTTACTTTTTTGAGACAGGGTCTCATTGTGCAGTTGAGCCTGGCCCTGAGCTCACTAGGTAGCCCAGGCTGGCCTTGAACTCACAGTGATCCTCCTGCCTCAGCCTCCCGAGTACTGGGATCACAGGCCTGCGCCACAAAGCCCGGCTCACGTGAGTTTTAAAAGAATGCTTCCCAGATAAAGCACTGTGCTGACTCTTGGAGATGGCTAAGTGCACTCTGCACGAAGCGATGTTCTTCAGTCTCTGAGGGGCGGGAGGAGCAGAAGGTCAGGGTTTCTATCTGGATGCTCCGCCAAAGCCTCAGGAGCTCCTAAGTGGGGCTTTGGGCAGGTGATGGGCTCCTGAGGGTGTCATACTCATGAGCGGATGAGTCCACTGATGAGTTAGAGCTGAGGAGGAGGAGTTACTGGGGGCGTGGCCTGGAAGGGGTGTGGCCTGGAAGGGGGCGTGTCCCTCCTCCTCCCTTGATTCCTCTCTGCTCCCTCCACCCACTGCCCTGCATGAGCTGTTTCTCCCCACCCTGCCTGTCTGTCCTGTGACCCTGTGAACAGAAACCCGTACACACTGTTAGCCAAAATAACCTCTTCCTTCTTAAAAAAAATACAAAGCGCTGCCCGTGGAGAAGCTGGCCTTGTCGTCTGACACTGAACGCAGAGGCACGCACTTGCCTGTACTTGTTTTTGTCCTTGTACGCCTTGTGGATTTTGTCGGTCACTGGTTTGCAGTTGGTCACAAGACTCTTGGTCACCGGGGGCTGCGAGAAAGCACAGGTGTGTCAGAAACAGGACGGGGACAAGGGTGACAAGAGCCGGGGGGCCTCAGCCCAGAGGCAGAGCAGGCAGGCAGCAAACACCTAGGACCAAGGGGGACCAGGGGGAAACGCACAAAATTGTTTTAAAAGTCACACTAGTACACTGCAGTCCCTGGATAGTCAGCTGTTTTTGGAAATGAAGTTTTATTTTCACCACACATTACACAACACTATGTCAAAACACCGCTGCCAGGCCGGGTGGTGCACACCTGTGACCCGAACGCTCAGGGATCCCAACTGAGGCAGGTAGATCACTGGAAGTTTGAGCCCAGCTTGGGCTACGTACTGAGGTGAAGACCAGCCTGACTGCACAGGGAGACCCTGCCTCAAACAAAAAAACCTTAGCCAGGTGTGGTGGCACACACGTGTAATTCCAACACTCGGGAGGCTGAGGCAGGAAGATTGTTGTGAGTTCCAGACCAGCCTGGGCTACAAAGTGAACTCAAGGCCAGCCTGAAGTGCATAGCAAGACCCTGTCTCAAAAAGATAAAAACAAAAACAAAACCTTAGTAAGATTATTATGAACTAGTGTTTAAGGTAACTTAATTATGATTCTTTCTCTCTTTTTTTGGTATTGGGGAGTGAAACTAGGGCCTTCAACCTGAGCTATATCCCCAACCCCTATTTTTATTTTGAGACAGGGTCTTGCTAAACAAGTAATATATTACTCTATGAGAACCAAGACTATTTATTATAGGAAACACTTGTGTAAGAGAACGACATTAAAAAGTACATGTGACAGGGGCTGGGGATTTAGCTCAGCGGCAAAAGCGCCTGCCTGGCAAGCGCAAGGTCGTGAGTTTGGTTCCCGGTACCGGAGAAAAA